TTTATTGGAGATAAGAGTCTCACGGTCTTTCCTGCCCTGTCTGACTTTGAACCGCAATCCTCAGATCTCAGCCTTCTGAGTAGCTAGGATTACAGGCATGAGCTACCGGTGCCTGGCTTAAAATATTTTAAGGAAGAAAAAAAGAAAAATGACAACGGAAAAAGATGGGTATTGGAACGCCCTTAACCCTCTGGCTGTGATCTGCTGCCCAAAGGGAACGAGGTCAAAGCCTCTCTCCAGTCTTCACCCTGTTCCCTCCTCTCTGGACCACCCTGCACAGGAAAGCTGTCCCCCTACCTATGCCTGCCCCACCCCTACATACAGCTCTTTTCTGGCCCAGGACACTGGGTGAGTCTTCCACCTTGAGATAAGCACTGTCACTGCCATACTCCTCCATTCCAACTTCCCCAGCGGGTCATGATTGGCCTCCTAGCTCTACTCTTGACCCTCTATTTCCTTCTAGAACTACCTATAATAAGCTTTTTTTTTTGGTCCATCATGGGGCTTGAACTCTGGGCCTAAGTGCTGTCCCTCAGCTCTTCAGCTCAAGGAGAGCGCTCTACCACTTGAGCCACAGCGCCACTTCTGGTTTTCCAGTGGTTAATTGGACATAAAGAGTCTAACAGACTTTCCTGCCGGGGCTGGCTTTGAACGGTGATCCTCAGATCTCAGCCTCCTGAGTAGTTAGTATTACAGGCGTGAGCCACCGGAACCCGGCCAGCATAAGCATTCTAAAGAGCAAAAGTGGGGGCTGGGAAGGTGGCTCAGTGGTAGAGCGCTTGCCTTACATGCATGAGGCCCTGGGTTCCATTCCTCAGCACCACATAAGCAGAAAAAGCAGGAAGTGGTGCTGTGGCTTGAGTGGTAGAGCGCTAGCCTTGAGCTGAAGAGCTGAGGGACAGCGCCCAGGCCCAGAGTTCAGAACCCACAACTGACAAAAAAAAAAATAAAAAACAAGAAGAGCAAAAGTGGTTGTCAATCTCCCTGGAGCCCCCACTGGCACCCACAGACCCAGGCAGGGCCCCTCTGCTGGTGTCCCCTAGCTCCCAACCATGTTATGGCATTGACAACCTGTGGAAGTTTCGAGCATGCTCTACATGTGGGCCTCAGCCCTTGCTGTGTGGTGCACTGCCCAATTCCTCCTGGTCTTTCAAGATGCAGCCCTCGTCCAGCTCACAGGCAGTGGCTGTGGGCTGTTTGTTCCCCAGGGTGGAAATGACAGAGTAGCCCACAGTGAGCACCTGCAAGCATTCATGGGACAGTAAACAAAGCGTGTGCGGCCAGCCCTGGAACTGAGGGAAGGCCATGCAGGTCACCGTGACAGAGATCTGAGTTACCCACAGCTCTCAATTCCCTCTGGCTCTGGCTCAGCCAGAGGAACCCTAATGACACCCACGTTCAAGGAGAGCTGGGATCCTTCTTGTCTTAGATGCCTGCAGACCATGGGAAAACGGGGAACAGAGCAACGAATAAACAGGGAACATGATTCCCATGGGCTCCGGGAATACTCTCAAATGAGCTAAGGGATGTCCAAGAATGCTTGGAAAGTTTTGTGCCCAAGAGTATGAGGTGGGGTTCAAGCTGGATGCCGATGGCTCACACCTATAATCCTAGCTACTCAGGAGGCTGAGAACTGAGGATCATGATTCAAAGCCAGCTCAAGCAGAAAAGTCTGTGAGACCTTTTTTTTTTTCCAATCCTGGGACTTGAACTCAGGGTCTGGGCACTGTCCCTGAGCTTCTTTTTGCTCAAGGCTAGCCAGTCTACCACGTAAGCCACAGCACCATTTCTGGCTTTTCCTGTATATGTGGTTCTGAGGAATGGAACCCAGGGCTTCATGCATGGTAGACAAGCACTCTACCACTAAGCCACATTCCCAGCCTTGTCTCTGAGACTTTTAAGTCCAATGAAGCAGCTAAAAGCCAGAAGAGGAACTGTGGCTCAGGATCAGCACACACACAAAAAGTGAGGCTCAAGCCAGGAGCCAGTAGCTCACACCTGTAATCCTAGCTACTCAGGAGGCTGAGATCTGAGGATCGAGGTTCAAGGCCAGCGTAGTCAGGAAAGTCCGTGAAGCATTTTTTTTTGGTCTGGTCGTGGGGCCTGAACTCTGGGCCTGGGCACTGTCCCTCAGCTCTTCAGCTCAAGGCGAGCGCTCTACACTTGAGCCACAGCATCACTTGCGGCTTTTTTTTCCTGCTTATGTTGGGCTGAGGAATGGAACCCAGGGCCTCAGGCATGCAAGGCAAGCGCTCTACCACTGAGCCACCTTCCCAGCCCTCCGTGAAGCCCTAAACTCCAATAAACCACCAGAAAACCAGAAGTAGCACTGTGGCTCAAGTGGTAGAGCGCTAGCCTTGAGCTGAAGAGCTGAGGGACAGCGCCCAGGCCCAGAGTTCAGGCCCCACGACCGCCAAAAAAAAAAAAAAAAAGTGAAGCTTAAGGACAGGGCCACCATGTTAACACTCTTCCCCACCACCGTCAGCCCTAGAGGACAAGCACTCCGGATTGCAGATTGCTTAGTCCTCTTCTAGGTGGCCCTCTTAGCCTGCAGATTGAGTCGCTGCCACAACCACCTCTGTTCCTGGGGTAGGGGCAAAGCCAAGGGGCTCAGCCTGGGGGGGGGCAGGTTCTCCTGGGCCACCAATATGCACTGCCCCTCCCTCCCTGCACCGCATACCTTGCCCACAGCTGAGCAGCTGGGATTCTATTTATAAAGTCGAGTGAGATCAGCAGCAGAGGCTATAAATGCACAGGCCACTGCAGGGCCCCACAGGAGCAGCCGCCTAGGGTGCCGGAGCGGCGGGCCGAGGGCAGGATGAGCGCCAGCACAGGCGGTGGCGGTGGGGGGGACAGTGGTGACGGAAGCAGCAGCAGGTATGGCTCAGCCAGGCACCTGGGGTCCCTGGCACCTCATGCGCTCACTGCCTACCCTCCCTCCCTACCCACAGTTCGCAGACCTCCTATGGGCCCGGGTCCTCGGGCTCAGAACTAGCCCCGGCCACAGCACCCCCCCGGGTGTTGCAGGGGCTCTTGGGCTCAGATGATGAGGAACAGGAAGACCCCAAGGACTACTGCAAGGGTGAGGTCCCGTCTTGGGTGCGTGTGGCCAGATTACTACTGCAGGAAGTTCAGGTCAGCCCGGGAGGAGTCGGGGGCCTGGAGGCCAGTCCCATGGGGGCCAGATGGCCAGCGGGACTGGGCTTCCCGGACAGACGGAGGAGGGCCATTTCCCCACTATTCTCTATTGGTTTCCTTTGGCAGGTGGCTACTACCCGGTGAAGATCGGGGATCTGTTCAATGGGCGGTACCACGTGGTGCGCAAGCTGGGCTGGGGCCACTTCTCCACTGTCTGGCTTTGTTGGGACATCCAGTGAGTGACTCGCACGAGTGCATTTGTGGCTTCCAGTCACCCCTGGGCTTTGTGAAGACCACTCCCATGGCCGTGTGAGTGTAGCCAGGGACAGCAGCCAATGAGGGTCTCTGTATTGCAGGCGCAAGCGCTTTGTGGCCCTGAAAGTGGTGAAGAGCGCAGGGCATTACACGGAGACAGCTGTGGATGAGATCAAGCTCCTGAAATGTGTGAGACGCCTCCCCTGCCGCCCCAGGCTCCCCTGGGAATGGCCCAGGGCCTGGCAATGTGGGTACAGGGCCTGCTGGGGCTCCCAGAGGGGTGAGCTCCAGCAGGCCCCCCTGACAAGGAGAAAGAAGCCAGAGGGCTGGGAGTGGCTGAAGCTTTTCCTCAAGTGGGACCCAACTGTATGGGTGTAATGGGGACCAGAGCTGCTTCAGGGGAGCAGCTGGTGAGGAGCAGGTTGGAGCCACCTGCGGCCCCTGGGCTTTTTGTTCTAGGTGCGAGACAGTGATCCTAGTGACCCCAAAAGAGAGACCATTGTTCAGCTTATTGATGACTTCAGGATCTCGGGGGTTAATGGCGTTCGTATCCTTTACACGATGAGCAAAATGGTGTGGCAGCAAACGAGCTGGTTTATGCCTTCTCAGGCTTCGGGGTCTCCGTTTGCTGCACGACAGGGGTTGTTGCTCACTGGAGCTAACAGTCTACAAAACAACCTCACGCTTTGGGGGCACTTGTGTTGAGGTGGGCAGGGATTCAGGTTGGTGGTTATGGTGCATGTGGCTGAGTGCCCCCAAATGTCAGAGGCTACTTCACAGGTCCTTTAGCATAACTGGGCAAAGACACTGGGCTGGTGTGAGAGGTTTCTATCTAGGATGACCACAAAGTGTGCCAGTCCGACTGGCACGCCTGACGGTGGCAAGGACACTATAAATAATAATGACTGGGACAGCGGTGACCACCAGGATGGTGCAGGGCATATCTCCTCTTCTCTGCACTGCCAGCGCCTCACTGTCCCTCCACAGCTGAGAGTGGGTAGGGCCTGGGTGGCAGACGGAGGCCTGCTGGCTGCCCTTCACTCACAGCCCCAGATGTGTGCATGGTGCTGGAGGTCCTGGGCCACCAGCTCCTCAAGTGGATCATCAAGTCCAACTACCAGGGGCTGCCCGTGGCCTGCGTCAAGAGTATTGTGAGGCAGGTAGGTGTGGCCTGGAGGGCGTGCCTTGGCATGAGCGTGACTAGGTGACTTCATTCATGGCTCTCCCCAGGTGCTGCATGGCCTGGACTACCTTCACACCAAGTGCAAGATCATTCACACAGACATCAAGCCCGAGAACATCCTGCTGTGCGTTGGCGATGCCTACATCAGGCGCCTGGCTGCTGAGGCCACTGAGTGGCAGCAATCAGGTGCCGCCCCGCTGTCCCGCTCCACAGGTAATCAACACCGTGAGCTGGGCTGGGCTGGGCTTCTGGGCCTCACTCTGCCTGAATCTTTTTCTCCCTCAATCCCCACATGTCCCCCCCCCAGTCAGCACCGCCCCCCAGGAGGTCTTGGTAAGTGGTGGCACCCTTTTTTTCCCCATCTCCCTGAGTGGGCTGGACGCCATCTTGTCCGAGCTGATCTCCTCAGCCCACGTGTCCCGCCCCACCCCCGCGTGCCCGCAGTGGCGCTTCTAAAAGGCTGGATGACCCCATGAGAAAGATGCAGAGGGTCATGTGCCCCAAACTGCCCTTGCCGGCCCCTGAGCCCATCATGGCCTCCGTGGAAGGACACTGTGTCTCCCCCAAATGACTACTTCAGATTGCCTTAGGCTGGGGCGGGGGTGGGAAACGGGGACAGGTCGGAGCTTTAAGCACTAGAAAAACAAGAAGGGAGGCAGAGAGATACATAGATTAAGTTAGGGGTTGGGACCAAGGGGAGCTCCGGGTTCCTGGGGGGGTGACCCTGACTTTGGCAGCAGACTGGTAAGCTGTCCAAAAACAAGAGGAAGAAGATGAGGCGCAAACGCAAACAGCAGAAGCGGCTCCTGGAGGAGCGGCTGCGGGATCTGCAGAGGCTGGAGGCCATGGAAGCCGCAGCGATGGTCGACGGTGAGGACCAGAGAGGGCCCTGGGCTGCACAGCACACACAGGCTGCCGGCCTCTGCTCATGCACACCTCTGCCCCCTCTTCCCAGATTCTGGCTCAAGACTAGAGGGGGGCAGCGGCTCCACCTCATCTTCTGGCTGCCACCCAGGAGGTGCCAGGGCCGGCCCCTCCTCAGCCTCCTCTTCCCCTGCTCGTGGGGGCAACCGCAGCCTCAGCCCCAGCTCGCAGACCTCAGGCTTCTCGGGCTCGCTGTTCTCGCCAGCCTCCTGCTCCATCCTCTCAGGCTCATCGAACCAGCGGGAGACTGGGGGCGTCCTGTCGCCCAGCAGTAAGTGTGGCTGACAGTGGGCAGCGGACTGGCAGGGGCGGGAAGAGCTGGGCCAGTTCAGTTGCTTTCCCTCCTCTTCTCTCCTCAGCACCATTCGGCGCTTCGAACCTCCTGGTGAACCCCCTGGAGCCCCAAAACGCAGACAAGATCAAGATCAAGATCGCAGACCTGGGCAATGCCTGCTGGGTGGTATGCGTACCTTGGGGAAGCAGGCTGCTCCTGGGGAGCCCTGCCTGGGCCCACAGGGCACACACCCCATTGTATGGCATGAGGCTGATGTGGCAGTTCCGGGCAGAACTGAGAGCAACTTCCTGGCGCTGTCCTGGGGCAGCAGGTTTCTGGCCAGTCGGCGAGACCCATGGCAAGGGGCAGGGGCGGCGCCAGGCTGCCTGGCCACTCCCCTTAGAATCTGTGGGTCTGTGAGAGCCAGGCACTGGTGGCTCACGCCTGTAATCCTAGCTGCTCAGGAGGCTGAGATCTGAGGATCACGGTTCAAAGCCAGCCAGGCAGGAAAATCTATGACTCTTGTCTTCAATGAACCACCAGAAAACCGGAAGTGGTGCTGTGGCTCAAGCGGTAGAGCGCTCACCTTGAGCTGAAGAGCTGAGGGACAGCGCCCAGGCCCAGATTTCAAGCCCCACGATCGACCAAAAAAAAAAAAAAAGAATTAGAGTGAGCCTCATAGAGCTCTCAGGTGCATGGAGCAGTGTGAGGGCAGGGAGGGAGGGCAGGGAGGCAGTGCCAGTGTGGCTCAGGCTCCAGTCTCCAGGGGTCCCCTTGCCTTCAGCACAAGCACTTCACTGAGGACATTCAGACTCGGCAGTACCGGGCAGTGGAGGTGCTGATTGGTGCAGAGTACGGTCCCCCGGCTGACATTTGGAGCACGGCGTGCATGGTATGCCCTGCAATCCTGGATGCCCCCTCGCCCAGGGTGGCTTGTCTGCCAGAAGCCTCACCAACCCCTCCTTCTAGGCCTTCGAGCTAGCCACTGGCGACTATCTGTTCGAGCCTCACTCTGGAGAAGACTACAGTCGTGATGAGGGTAGGGGAGGCGGGCCTTGGGCTCAGCTCCATGGCCTGAAGCCCACAGGCCCAGCTCGCCAACCTCCTCTGTGCCCACAGACCACATCGCTCACATTGTGGAGCTTCTGGGAGACATCCCTCCCGCCTTTGCCCTCTCAGGCCGCTACTCCCGCGAGTTCTTCAACCGCAGAGGTGGGGGCTGAGCGGGCTCAGGCCTGGGTGGGTCGGTCGGGGAGGGGAGGAAACCTTCTGCTTCACTCTGAGGCTTCCTGGCCCCCAGGAGAGCTGCGGCACATCCACAACCTCAAGCACTGGGGCCTGTACGAGGTGCTCATGGAGAAGTACGAGTGGCCCCTGGAGCAGGCCACGCAGTTCAGCGCCTTCCTGCTGCCCATGATGGAATACATCCCGGAGAAGCGGGCCAGTGCTGCGGACTGCCTCCAGCACCCGTGGCTCAACCCCTAGCTTCATCACCGCCTCAGGAGCAGGCCGGGCGAGCTTTAGCCCCGGCTCAGTGCCTTCAAGGAAAGCAGAGCTTCCTTCACCTACCCTGCTAGATACTAGCTCCTTCATACCCCAAGGCTGGGCAGACGGGGCCAGGCCTGCCACGCAGCGTCTGCCCACAATATACCTAGAGGGTTCTCTGAGAGGGAAAGAGTGCGTGTATTTCCTTTTCTTAATAAAGTATGAGCTGAAACACTCCTGTCCCAGAGTGAGGGAAGCACATGGCCGTGGTCTAGGGTAGAAGCTGTTTATTCTGGGGTCTACCCACCAAGCAGGCTGGGATGCTGGAGTGACAGGGATTCTAGGGGACAGCTGAGGGGGCCCCGGGGAGAGCCTAGGCCTCCACAGCCCGGCCATTGATGATGTGAATGTGGCGGATGATGTCCTGGATGGCTTCGGACGTAGTGCCCTGGCCCCCAATATCCGGAGTGTGCATCTGGGGAGACAAAGCCACTTGGGCACACCAGGCCTGCCAATGTCTGCCCTCACCCCTCAGGCAACCCATGGATGCCGAACTGTCTCCCTGGAACTGTTTCTGGGAGGGCAGGAGGACCAGCTGAGGCCCAGAAACCCCATCCAACCTCAGACCACTCTTCCTCTAGAGGCCAAAATCCGTGCTGATGGCTATGTCCAGCCCCTCAGCCCAGCCACGCCAGCTCAACACCAGACAGGGGAGTGGAACCTTACGTTTTCGTTGTCCATGGACGCCAAGACAGCTTTGCGGATGGAAGTGGCATAGGAGTGAAGCCTAGAGGAGCAGAACAGAGACAGCCTTTGGTCACCAAGGCCTAGAGGACCGGCTGAGAGCTCAGAGACAGGCGTGAGGGTGCCACTTACTTGAGGTGGTCCAGCATCATGCAACTTGCTAGCAGTGTGGCTGTGGGGTTAGCAATGTTCTTGTTGGCAATACTCTTGCCAGTGTTCCTCGTAGCCTGCAGAGGACAGGAGAGACGCGTTAACATGTCCAACACAGGCATGCCCACAGACATAGAGCAGGGGAGGGGACATCAGGAGAGGGGATGGGGGTGTGTAAAGGTCCAGAGATTTCTCTCAGCACGCCACATTCGTGAGCATGTCAGTAGTGCTAATGGCTGCACAGTACTGCATGGGACATGCATGCAACTCCCCACCCACACGGCTGCTGAGACAAGAAAGGGCAGGGCTGCCCTCCTAGACACTCACTGTCTCAAACACTGCGTACACGTGGCCATAGTTGGCCCCCGCCACAAGGCCTGGGCCCCCGACCAGCCCCGCACAGACGTTGTTGACAATGTTGCCGTAGAGATTGGGCATCACCATGACATCAAATTGTTGGGGCCGCGAAACCAGCTGCGGGACAAAGAGGAAGCTGAGTTGGAGAAGCTGCGATGCCCAGCGCGGGAGGCTGTGGAGCCAGGGAAAGTAATAACCTGCATGGTGGTGTTGTCCACAATCATGTTCTCGAAGGTGATCTGGGGGTAGCGAGCCGCCACCTCCCTGCAGCACTGGAGAAAGAGCCCGTCACCTAGTTTCCTAGGCAGAGGTGAGGTAGGAGAGACACAGGATACCATCTTGGCCCATCACTATAGTTAGCTGGAGGGGTGAAGCGTGCCAAGGGCCATGGAAGCCTGAGGACTAGCCTTTAACTTGCCCCCGCTTGCTCAAGGGGCATAACCCCAGCTCATCTTCCCTGAGAATACACTCTGGCCAGGGTACAGACCTTTGGAGACACCAGGGCACAACCCTGGGCATGGCTCCTTGATGGGCAGCCACTGTTCTAGAAACTGAGTGTCAGAAAAGAGCTGAACCAGGCGCCGGTCGCTCATGCCTATAATCCCACCTACTCAGAAGGTTGAGATCTGAGGATCATGGTTCAAAGCCAGCCCAAGCAGGAAAAGCCTGTGGACTCTCATCTCCAATGAACCAGCAAGAAGCTGAAAATGGAGCTGAGGCTCAAGGCATAGGGCGCTAGTCCCGAATACAAAAGCTCAGGGACAGCACTCAGACCCCGAGTTCAAGCCCCAGGAATGACACAAAAATAAAAAATAAAAAAGAGCTGAGCAACCCACAGTATAACCCTAGTTTTCACTGTAAAAAAAAAAAAAGAGAGAGCTGAGCAAGCCGTTCCAGAGCCGCTTCCGGGCATGCGAGGGACATACATGATATTGGCCTTGTGCACAGCCGTCACTTTCTTACGCCCACTCTCATGGGCCAGCTTGAAGGCATACTCAGCGATGCGCAGGGACTTGGCCTTGGTGATGATCTTCAGACTCTCCACCACTCCCGTCACACTCTGCGAAGGAGCAGGAGAGAAGGGCATAATGGCTGTGCCGCGACGCAACCCTGCTGCTGAGTACATCTGGCTTCTCCCCAGGCATCACCATGACCTTTGCTGGGCTGCCTTTTCTTGGTTCCTTGAGGTCTCTCCTCTACAATGGCCCTCGTCACACTCATTGCCACTGTCATAACCCACGAGAGTCCCACAGCTTTGCTACCTCATGCTCCAGGCTGCTGTATTCGCCCTCTGTGTTCTCCCGCACGATGAGGATGTCTATGTCCTTGTGGCGGGTCACCACTCCCGGCAGGCTCTTACAGTGGATGACATTGGCATAGAGGTCCAGGCTGGTGCTGGAAGGGGGGCAGAGGAGAGAAGAGGTAGGCTAGGCTGGACTGGCATCTTGCCAGAGGGTGTGAAGCCCTCTCAGTGCAGACTTGCTGACCTCCACCAATCCACCCCAGGCTCTGGGCTCACCGAAGGATGTTGTTTCGGGATTTGTGGGAAGGTGGCAAGTTATGGTTGGTTTCGATGTTGCCTACAAAACAAGAGCAAGGCAAGCAGGCTGGAGAAGGGAGCCCAGGCTTAGCTGTGCTGCCACATCCCCCTGCCTGGCCAGGAGAAGTGCACAGAGAGCTGGTCCAGCTGGAGGACAAGTAGCTTTCCGGAACAAAATATTTCATGGAACACTAGGATGTCATCTGCAATGTAGGCCCCACAAAGGCAGACGGTATGGGGTATGTGGGGGAGGGCAGTTGATAGTGGGTACCAAGGACCTAGAAAAACACCTGGCACCTAGTAGACACTCAATAAATATCTATCAAGTGAATAAACTTATTGAATAAATACAATTGGCAGCTGGCCAGTAAGCTCTGCCCACTCTATGCTCAGGCTTCCTCTGTATCAAGGAAAAGTAACCAATTCTGGGCTGGGAATGTGGCTTAGTGGTAGAGAGCTTGCCTAGCATGCATGAAGCCCTGGGTTCGATCCCTCAGAACAACATACACAGAAAAAGCCGGAAGTGGCACTGTGGCTCAAGTGGTACAGTGGCTATGCTTGAGCAAAAGAAGCTCAGGGACACTGCCAGAAGTCCCAGGACTGTCAAAAAAAAAAAAGAAAAAGAAAAAGTAACCAATCCTATTTATGCACAGCCTGCCTGGCCAAATTGGTTCTAACAAGGTGACCTTTACTGAGGTTCCTGCCAGGCCTCAAACCAAGGCACTACACAATCTCCAGCTCAGAGCCATGTAGTGACTGTCTAGAAAAGGCCACAAGTAGACCATAGCTTGGCTGAGCCAAGCCCTGCCCTGTTGCCTTGGCACCCAGAGGAGGGAAAGCAGAGGTCCCGTGAGGCTAGGAGACAGAAGCTGCTGGGAGAAGGCAGCCAGGAGGTGCCAGGCAGAGAGGCCTTTCTTAGCTCAGCAGGACTGCCTGTCCCTTCAAGGTGCCCCCAGCCCAGGCTGACTTCACTTAGACTAGTGAGGGCACCCTGCGGCTGGCATTAGGCCCAGGGGACTGCCAGCACCTGGGGCTTGCACGCAGATGACTGGTGTTGGTGAAGCACCTAGGCATAAGCATGGCAAGCCAGGAGAGGTAATGGGAATCCCGGTCTACAACATGAACAGCTGCGGCGGCCAGAGCCAAGGAAGTGGGCGGAGGGGCGGAGGGCCGGAACTGCAGAACGGTTTCCCTGCTTTGGTCTGTGAAGAAAGACTCAGCACCAAAGCTGGTGTGGGTAGAATGCTGTCTAAGGAAAAGGAGGGCAGGAAGGAGGCCACAAGGCCTGGACACATCAAGGTCTCCAAGTCACAGCATCACAAGGCCCAGAGAAGCAACACAGACTCCAACGAAGAGAGTCCTCTCCAGCCAGAAAACCCCTCAATTGAAGCCAGTGGGGCCCACTAGAGTCTAGGCAGTGGTAAAAGGAATCTTTTTTTTTTCTTTTTGCCAGTCCCAGGGCTTGAACTCTAGGCCTGGGTATTGTCCCTGAGCTTTTGTGTTCAAGGCTAGTGCTCTACCACTTGAGCCAAACCTCCACTTTTGGTTTTTTATGGTTTATTGAAAATAAGAGTCTCAAAGACTCCCGCCTGGGCTGCCCTCACACCAGGACCCTCTGATCTCAGCCTTCTGAGTAGCTAGGATGACAGATGTGAGCTACTGGTACCCAGAGGTAAAAGGAATCTTACTTAGCACTTCAGCATAGCCCCTGAACTCACCCTTCAAGGCCACGCGGTTGCGGCGGATGGCCATGATGGCGTTGCGGATATCTTCTTCATCAGCATTGGAGCTCACGTGCACTTCTTCAAAGTCCACAGGCACACACGCATGCCTGGGAAGACGTAGCATCACGCAGGCTGGCCTAGGGCAGCCGGAGCTTCCTCCAGGAGACCCACCCAGGCCGGTGCATGCCAAGGCCTCTTCCCTGCCCCTTCTCCCCTGGCCCTGGCTGAGAAGGGACTGGGCCCACCCTTTCCGACTGATAAAGTCAACCCTGAATTCCACAATGGGCTAGGAAGCAGGACCCATGTTATCTTTCCCACTCCCAGGTCAGCCTGATGAGAGGTACTGGAATACAAGGCCTGGTCTTACAGGCCTCCCTGTCTCCATGTCACCAGGCATTTAAGCAAAGCTACAATTGGGGGGCTCACACTGGGCATCTTGGCACAGAGGTCTGAGGAAACCGCTGGCTGGGCCTGGGATACCACCC